AGGCACTGAAGAAGGGATTCCCCTGATGCCTGTGGTGCAGAGCGGGGTGAGGCAGCTGTGCCCCTGCAGGTCCATAGAGGAGCAGAGATCCATCTGCAGTCCATGGAGGAACCTGTGCTGGAGCAGGGGGGAGCCCAGAGGAGGACGTGACCAAGCGGGAAGCCCACACTTGAAGAGGTTCCTGACAGGACCTGTGGCCCCACGGATAGAGGAGCAGTTTTGGTGTCAGGGCCTGCAGGGAACCCACTCTGGAGCAACCTGTTCCTGAGGGACTGCAGCCTGTGGGAGGGATCTACACTGGAGCAGGTCATGCAGAACTGCAGCCTGTGGGAAGGACTCACACTGAAGCAGTTCGTGGAGGACTGTCTCTCAAGACAGGGACCCCACACTGGATCAGGGGAAGAGTGTGATGAGTCCTGCCCCTGAGGAGGAAGCAGTGTTAGAGACACCATGTGACAAACTGACTGCAGAACCATTCCCTGTCCCCAGGTGCCACTGAGGGGAGGAGGGCCAGGAAATCTGGAGTGAAGTTGAACCTGGGAAGAAGTGGGGGGGTGGAGGGAAAGGTGTTTTAAGATTTTATTGTATTTCTCGTTATCCTATGCATTTTCTGAGCAAGGTATCCCTTTCAGAGGGTCAGCACCATGGAGAAGCTCTCAGTGGTGAGGGCAGCAGAGCTCATCCAGTGTCATATCAACAGGGAAGACCTGGGCACATGCACAGTTGCTCCACTTGGAAAAACTGCCCCAGCAGTAATGTTTAAAATGTCATCCAAAACGCTGCAAGTAGATTCAGTGCAGCCAGTGACTCAGTTAACATGTTTTGGCAGCTAGAATGTGAGTCTCCAAAAGAGGATGGCATCCACTACCACTGAGCTCTTCTGTGCCTCAAGCTTTGCACTGGCATTGTGTTAATTCACCATATCACACGTCGTAATGTATGACTTGGAGGTTCACACAGCCTTGCCTTCTAATGAGTCCTCACATCTACTTTTTAATGAGAGTATACAAGTGCCATAAGACTAATTTCAATAGACACATCCTGATGGATGAAGCTTTTGGACTCAAATTCCTTTCTTTCATCCCATTGCGTGCAGTCAAGATTTAATCCCTCAAGCAGAGCAGAGAGTTAATTTTTATCTCAGTTGATCAGTGTGGTATTAAAAAAAATAAAACCACAATTTATATTTTTTAATAACCATGTGAATAAATATGCTGAACATTTAAGACACCCTGCAGCTGACACATGACTATGTTTGCTCTGGACTGACGTTCTTACTGTTGCACCAAGATTACTGAGTAGTGGTGTGCAGTTAACATGGAGCTTCACTGTCCTTTGTGTCAGTTGTTGAAAATATGTGCTAGAGTGTTGTGGTGTATCAGTAATAGAAATACTGCCATTCTGATTTATTTTTTATTTGCTTTTATATTAAATCAATAATCTGTTAGAAAGCTGGTTTAAAAATAGAAAAAAAAATGAATGAATGAGCTGGAAAGCTAAGTATATTTTTCCCTGTACCTTTTTTATTCTGTACATTATTTTTCTAAAAAAAAATTCAATAAAATATTCAATTTTCTGTTCTTGCAAGCATGTTCAATATTGGCTTTTATTTCTCTATTTCTCATGGTACATTCCACCTAGATTCATCCAAGCTTCAGGAGACCAGCAATTTCTTAGTTCTTTCAGCCACTGGAACATTTTCCAAACTTTGTGGGTTTTTTTGTCTCCAAGATTCTTGAAAAAATTTTTCAACAACTTGAATCCTTATGTCTCACATCTTCACCAAGCCTGAACTAGTTCATCAAACACTTCACAGCATTTGAACTACATCTTCAGCCTGCCCTGGTACAGTCAAAATCCTGTTATGGATCTTATAAACAAACACAAGAATTGGTTGTTAGTCTAATTAAAATAAGGTAAAAGCTGCTTTTAAATCCAGTTAAAATTACATTAATGCACCAATAATCCAAATTGTTTAATTAAAATAAAAGGAATGGTATTACTAATGTAATTAATAACAAGATCCTGGCTACATTGTCCCCTTGCTGTCCCTCTCCTCCAAGCTTCTTTCCCTCCCTTGTTGCCTGTGCTTTCCTGTGGTCTGGCCAAGGGCTGCCATGACAAGATGTCAGTGCCCCAAGTTGCCAGCGTTGCTGCTGATGGCAGTAATTTGTATTTTCTAATACTCCTCAGCTTCGTGGTTTGCTTGGGGACATTTTATGCTATTTTTGTTAGTGAGCTTCTCTCCCAGCTATCTATGATCCTATACTATGCTAGGATTTTCACTCACACGTGGTTCCTTGCTGGAATTTTGCCATGTGTAATATGACTGAATCTTACCAAATATGGACAAGTCCAAGGATTAAAGCTACTGAACAAGGACTTTGGTTAAAAAAATAACCCTCTCTGACCACTTTTCTTATTTTGTTGTTAAGAGTTTAATGCCCTGACTACTTTGCTGCTCAGGCAAGGAAAACAAGTTCAAGACCAGTTAGCAAAGCAAGTCAAGACTAGTTAAGATGGGAGCTAAGATGAGAATTGGCATCAGCAACCTGTTACTAACAATGACAATGTCATATCACAAACACTACCTGCAATCAACTGAGAAATGAACTCAGTTTTCTTCCATTGCTTCCTTTCATGAGTTGTTAGTCATGATTTCTGCAAACTCTATCCTCGAGATAAGTGATATGCCCTAGAAGAACTTTGATTTATACTTCATATCTACTGGTTTTTGAGTCCATAGCAACTGTTGAGTTCTCTTTAAAGAAATTACTACTTGGAGAAGAATCATGATCCTTCAGTTTCCTGGTGCCAAGGGTTCTGGGTGATGCTCTAAATTACACTTGTACAAGTTTCGAGCTGGCTTCCCACCAAGTCTCCGAAACTTGACAACAAAGGCCTGCTTCCCAGAGAGGGAAGAAAAAAAACCAAGCAGCCAAAGCTATAGCAAAAATATATATATTTTTACATATAAGACAGATATATATAATGAGATTATATACTACAACCCAGAAACCATCTTTCCCTTTTCCTCCTTTTCAATCGTTCTTTGCCCTTACCAAGTTCTGACCATCCTGAGTTACACTGTTCTCTTTAACCCTCACTGAATGATGGTGTTTATTGCTCTGCTCCACGTTGATATCAAAAAGCGGAGATCAGGAGGGGAGGGACACCAGATGTCATCTGTCCTCAGAACTTACCACCTACAAAGCAGCCAGTTACTTTGGTCTCCTCTTGAGTCCTGCAGGGTATCAGAACATTATTGATTTTGGAGGGGTTGGAGCTTTTCTGATCTCTACAACTGTTTTGGCACACACCATCAGTTTGGAAGACTGCAATTCTTACCTAGAGTGAGTTTTCCTTTTTGAAAATCATGTACTTTTCACCTTTCTCTGGTTCTTCACCCCCTAAATAAAACATGGCATTAACGATGAGCATTCTCTGCAAAGCAGCTTCAAACCAGCTGAGCGTAAAGCACTGTGTCCCTGTTAGTTCTGCAGTGAACTGGCCTGGAGTCACTTGGTACACAGGGTTTTTGATGGTGTAGCCTGGATTTTGGGTCAGTTAGAAAGTTACTTTCTGTAGTTTCAGGATTCCTCCCTTGACATGCAGTGCTGGTGAGCTGAAGGATCTGTGTGTGTGCACTGAACTGACTGGGGCCAGTCTGTAACTGAAAACTGGGCTATTCCCAGTTCCTTCATTAGGAAAGGAGAAAAAAAGCTGCTTTTTGTTTTTATGTAACCATCAGAGAGCTGTGTCCAGCCTTACTGTGAGGCTCTGCCCTGGCTCAAAAAATCTCCATATTTCTGGAAATAATTTGCTTCCTTTATTTTCTTTTACCATTGTAGGAGAGAACTCTTTCTTCTTTGTTACTTGTAGAATACAATCCTTCCACCTCTGGCAAGCATAGAAAGACTCCCATGAAATTAATGATTTTTTTTTTTTTTTTTTAAATAAAGCAAAACAACTGTCACAGTCTCTATTTGTCTTTGATATTAAAATGCCAAGTGAAGTTGCTGTTTATTAAAATCTTTCAGTGACTTCTTCAGACTCTTAATTCTTAGCCCCTGGCAGAAAGGTGTCAGGGTAAGTGTCAGGTTACAAAGCATCTAAAAATGTTCCCTGCAATATTCTTTCCATATCCATGACTGGATTCAGTTTGCTATGTTACCCAAGAAAGTGCTTCTTGACCAGGCAGTTGATGAAAAAGAACTGTGGGGCTCAGCCATACAGACTCAGAAATCTGCCTTGGAGAGAAAAATCAGGGATTGATTCCTGTATTTCATCTTTGTAAACTTCTTCAGACTTTGGATTTTATTTCACTGCAGTGGGGATTGCAAGTCAGGTCTTCAGTTTATCTAAAAATTTTCAGAGCAGTGATGATGATTTACACACATGCATTTCTACTACCCAGCCCAGTTTTATAAGTGACTGGTGGAGCTAGAGAATAAAAATGAAATACAACACTAAAAGATGCTTTTATTATCTCTGTGAAAGCACCTTTTAGGACTGCAGTTCTTTTTCCTCTCTTACCATAAAGTAAGAATAACTTGAGGAGAAAAAGCACCTTTGAGTTTTAAAAGTATTTGCTGTTCTGTGGTGCGGGTGATAAACCGGATTACAACTGTGCTCGCAGGAGGGATCCAGCAACATGTGACATGTGCTTTGACAGATTTTGGCTGGGTTTGGCTTATGCCCCTTCCTCTGCCAGTGGTACACTCCCAGGGTCCCTCTCTGAGGTGTCAGTGCTCTTTGGAAAGCTGATTCACACGGACAGAGGGGCAGGTACTCCGGAGAGTGAATTTTAGGGGGTGAGATGGAGGATCGACAGCAGCACCACTGGGAAGAGTGACAGAGGGAGGAACAGCACAGCATCCAGAGTCTGGGAGTCCGAGCTGGGAAGGAGGAAAACGAGAGAGATCTCCTTGTACTGAGGAACAGAATGATTTTCCCCTCTTTCTCTTGAATTCTAAAACTTGAAACACCAAGAGCACTGTGGATTTATGCTTTTACAGATCACTCTGTTCCAGACATTGAAATAAAAGCAGCTGTGGAGATCTAGGGGGGATGCTCTATACAGAGTTCATTAATAAGGTACGTCCTGTTTCTCTTCCTGTTCTTGTCAGATGCTGAAAGTGTAGGTGTGTACATGCAAAAGAATATACAGGTGCAAAATGGCATGCATAGATACACATCTAGGTGTTTATATTATGTATTTTCACTGTATTCCTCATTTAGGTCCATTTTCATATTAGCTTCACTGATACTTAGTTTCACAGAATCCTTTTGATTGCCATTCTACTTTTCTTCTCCTTCCTGTAGAATAAAATGTTTCACCATAGGATTAAAGATTTTAGAGTGCAACCTTTAGAAATGTACCTGAGAAATTCAGAAATATTTTCTGAGAGTTTTGATATTGCAAGGTGTCATTTATTCCTTTCTTTCCTCTGCCCCTTCTGATGACATTAGAGTCTCCAGGCATATGTGATATAACCAGGAATAATTTCATGGTGTAACAGGACTTGCCAGTGTAATGGCATTTTGATAAATATTATCCTTTTCAGACTGGTGCTTTCTTTAGTCTTTTTGGAATTCTGCACAAATACAGCATCGCCTTTATTAAAAAATGAATTTGAAGGAGAACTGATCATTTGTGCCTTTGGACAATATTAGGAGCCTAAAACATTGATTATTTGATACCGATTATCTGACCGGTATTGATTTTATACTGATAATTGGTTAATTTCAAAGTAAGAAATGAATATCCCAAAGCACTCCCTTACAACAAGAGAGAAAGTATTTGCAGAAACTGTGTTCAACTCCCTTTTTCATAGAGAGAAGGGAATTGCCTGGAGTTGTACAACTCCAGACAACAAGTCAGCACAGTGCTGTGATGGCACTTTGCACCAAAGAAAATCCAGTTCTTTGAACTTAGCAGAACTCTAAGCTGCATTTAATTGTAAAATAGTCCTGAAGTGCTCACCTAAGATTCAGGGATCAGCACATCCTTGCATTTGCTTGCAGTTGGAGACTGTTTCTTTGCTGAGCAGGATGCAGCACCCTCTCTGGGTGCCTGGCTGCACCCCAGTTTGCAGTGCTCAACCACCTCAGTCGGAAACAGGCAGCAAATGGACAATTCTAACATCAGTCTCAGCCTGCAGTAGGTGAAGATCCAGCAGAGAGAGCAAGGGAAAGGGAATCAGCGTTTCCAAGTTACATTCCCAGCCTCTGACTCGTTACATGACTGGATGTAGATCACTAAGCTGTTCTAATTAAGTTTATGAGCTGGAAAATAGTTGTGCATTACTCCAGGTCTTATGTTTTACATGAGAAAGGAACAGATTTCATATGCTGGTCTGCAAGGAAACCACTTTTTTCTCCCTGGGACAGGGTCAGGCTTTTGTGTGTCTCCAGGACACTTCTGTAATGGACAAATGGACAGTGATGTCGAAACAGAGGGATAGGATTTTCTGTGCAATAGGAAACCTCTACCAAAAAGTGTTCTCGGAGCCTAAACTGAAATTGCAGGTTCTGTATCTCATGAACTGTCATTACTTTTCTATTCTTCTCCAAGTGGTCTTATTTTCATGGTTTTTCCTTGTTGCTTGTCCTCCTGTGGTGCTACAATTGGGGTACTGTTTTCTTGGTTAAAATGTTGCTTGCTGGGTTACTGAGACTATTTTTCATCCTCTCTAAATGATGCTTGGTTGTCACTGCTTTTCATTTTCTTCTAGACTGTCTCTGCTGATTATGTAGCTCCTATATTTGAGTGGCACATGCTTTTTTCACAAGTCAACCTCAGGAAAGCAGGAGTGTGAAATGCTTTATTTGCTGCTGTGCTGTTGATGCCATAGAAATAGTCAATAAAAGCTTTGCAGCCTCTCCAGATCCTGTGAAATGTCTGTCTCTTTTCTTTAAGTTTGTTTTGACTTAGGTCTACAGAGACAGCCAAGTTCCCTCTGAAATATTAGGAAAGGGGTAGAGCCAGATATTGGGCCAATTACCCTGCTGCAGCAGGTTCACACAGCTGATCTGCTCACTACTAGGACTCCTAGGAAAACTGTTGCAAAAAAATATGGTGCTGCCTTCTCCAGACAAGAGCAAGGGTGGGTGTCCTGAAATTTGTAAACAAGGTGAGCTCAAACATGGATGTAAGCAAATTCTGATGTGTCAGAGGGCTCCCTGATACAGTGAGGATACAGTGGGAATACAGATCTTTTTCTCCCAATAGGCTGGCTCTCAACTTTGAGGAACTTTGCAAAGAGTGCTCAGATCTGGAGATGAATTTTTAATCTAAACAGGGTCCCTGGTATAATGTGCTTTGCTTCTCGGGCAAGCTGTGGATGCATTTCAGGTGCTGCCAGCCTGGCAAGGTCACTGGCAGTGTCCTCTGCTGTGGGCACTGGCTGTTGTTGTGGTGTTGGTATGTACAGTGCTTGGCAGTTAGGTTGGTTTTATGGACCAAAACCCAAGCAGAAGGAAATCTTTTTGTTGTTTATCAAACGTTTACATTTACATGGTTCTTCATCCTAATTTCCTTAACTGAGTTTTTCTCAGTGCTTCTTGAACACCTTCTATTCACCAGATAAAGTAATGTTTGTATTTGAATTCAAGTTCTTCTGAATTTATCTTATTGCGATCCTCTCATCTTCCTGCACCTAGAGTTCTTGAAGCTCATGTATATTTTGTGCTGTAATATCAAGGCGAATTTCAATATTATTTTTAGTCATTATAAAGCACAGTTGATACCCAATTCTTGCCAAAGCAGTGACACCAGTCAATATACTACTACCCTTGTCCCTATGTGTTTCCTGTTCAAGGCACTTGAATTTCCCTCCCTTGTGTGCAGCCCTGTTCATAATCTGTCTTGCATTAACAAGGCTTTTATCAAGGTTGAATTCAACAGATTATTGAATCTGCACTAATCACACCCCTAAAATATTGAAATTAATCCTTAATATTATTCATCCCCCAAAAGAACCTACCTATATCAGATATTAAGGATCTGGGAGGAAAATTAGTTTTTCTGGTCTAATGATGTAAGTTGCTTAACAGGTGAATAGTCTCAAGTTTCATTCTCTGAGAATTTTACTTAACCTCAGGAAAATTTACCTTGGAAAACTGTGAAATTTCCATGGTTAGGAATAGGCTGGACACTGATCAGTAGCAGCAAAAACAGAATTTATTCTTCTATGAAATCAGACAGGGAATACGTGTTTGCTTGATGTACTCTCCAGCCTGTTTTTCAGTCATAAAAGTTGTAATGATCATATGCCACAAACTCATTTCCCACTTGTCTGTCTTCTACAGGGTGTGACACTCCAGTCACCACTCAAAATTACCATTGAACATCGTGGTTCTGGGCTCTGGGAAACCACATGCAGGGGGGTCTATTAACAGCAGGGGGATCTATTAACAGCCAGAGTGAGGATGTAAGAGATTTATCTGCCTAATCAGAGATGGCTATTGTGAAGGCTGCTTCTCTACCTATCTCGCTCAAATATACAGCTGTTTTCAGAAGAAGGAATTTTTCCACCTTTTGCATGCCCTAGCAGCTTCAGATGCTGCTCCTGGACAAAAATACATATCTGACCACTGGCGGGGATATTAGGAGGCACTACACCACAGAGATCATTATTTATTCATTATTTTATTTAGCTATAGGAAAACAAATCCACAAATATGTTGTATAATCCAGATGACTTCAGGCTTGTGAATGTTGTTACATGCCCTCTGGATATTGAAGACTAACTGTATAAATTTTGAAAACAATAATGCTTGTGGTTTTTCACATCAAAAATTGAAAATATAACAGGCTGCTGAGATGAATCTGAAATTTCAGTTTTGATCTCCCTTTTGTAAAGAAATCAGTTTTCCTCTGAAGATGCTATACTGTGGAAAAAAAGCCCACAATTTCAGGTCTCTGAGTTTTCCATCACCTGCAAAATCATAATCTGTTGTTGCTGGAGCTAAGAAGTTAATTTGTGCTTCACAAAAGCATTGAATGCCTCCACAACTCTTAGGACACCTTGTGGTTTATAATAATTTTCCAAAACAGCTGAACATATTTTTCTTCTTTGGATCACTGACTTGGGAGCCATTACACCAGAACACATTAGTCCATTGTCCCACCTCCTCTGTAGATGCAAATTCACTCTGTTTCTCTTCAGGGAGAAGAGGGTTAGCAATTTGCTGAAAATTGCCCATCAAGTTGAAGAAGGGATGAGATTCAGCAGGACCCAGGGGGTTGCTCTCTACTTGGTCCTCCAGACCTTTCTGTTCCCTCAGGAGAGTAGGGAACTGTGAGAATTTCCATCAGAAAATGGGAAAACAGATGGGCTAGTATGGAAAAGATGGACAGTGGCCAAGTCATGATGTGTGATGAAATATAAATGGACAAAAACACAGACTGGACAGGCTTGCAGCTGCTGAGGTAGCAGTTACTGTGAAGATTTTTTCTTCTCCAGGTGATGTCGTATATGCAGATGGGACCTAAAGGCTCACAGCCTAAACTTTTTGGGGGGGCATGGAAAGTCTCATGCTGCATCTGCAGTGAGTCATCCACCAAGGGGTCTACAAAACCCTGAAACCAAATGTCAGTGCCTGATAAATAAGGGAAATAAACTGACAGGGGCAGGTTTAGATTAGATATTAGGAAGAAAATCTTTACTGTGAGGGTTGTGAGACACTGGCACAGGTTGCCCAGAGAAGCTGTGGATGCCCTATTCCTGGAAGTGTTCAAGAACAGGTTGGATGGGGATCTGAGCAACCTGGTCTAGTGGAAGGTGCCCCTGCCTGTGGCAGGAGGGTTGGAACGAGATGATCTTTCAGGTCCCTTCCAACTGAAACCATTTCATGATTGTATGATAAATGACAGGGAATGGTAAAGTCCATTTGGTTGCTTCCACTCAGCTCCTGCAAAATGTCATGCTTTTGGCAATCCGGGGTGAAAATTCCCAGGATTTGCCTAAATCTGAGGAAAAGCAGCAGCTGCTCTGCAAGAACAATCAAGATTTTTTCTCCCCTCTCCTTCAGTGCCCTCTCTGTAAGAGGAAGGGATCAGCAAGGTTACCACTGTTCTGTGGTCAGCTTCT